GAGTGAGCCTGTGAGAGGCCCCTGTGGCTGCCCCTCCACATGGAGTCAGTGCTCTTGGTTAGATCACTCCAGCTGGCTCCTCGCAATGGGGGCATCTGCCCTAGACCTAACCCAGGCAGGGGCCCAAAGGGTGTTTGGGAGGGGCTTCTCCAGCACGCACCCACGGGCTCAGTGCCGACCCAGCGCTCCTTTAGGCCAAGCCCATGGTTGGATCTTTGGTTTCTTCACCTTTAGGATGGACATAAGCTTACTCTGTATTTAAAGCTGCTCTTTCCTTTTTTACTATTGACACTATTACATTATTCCCCATTCCTGCCCGCTTTGCCCTCCTCAACGCTACTCTGATTTCAGAGAGGAAGGGAGAGAAACATCAATGATAAGAGAGAATCATTGATCAGCTGCCTCCTGCACGCCCCCTACTGGGGATCAAGCCTGCAACCTGGTCATGTGCCTGACTGGGAATTGAGCCGTGACCACCTGAGATTGATGCTCAACCACTGAGGCACACCAGACGGGCTCCTCAAAGCTACTCCTGACTTGTGATTACTTCCTATGTGCCAAGGTTTTGGTGAGTTCTTAAATGCATTATCTCATTTAATTCTAGCTGTGAGCTCAGAACTCTTGCATCTTATTTATTTATTTATTTATTTATTTATTTATTTATTTATTTATTTATTTTAAAATACGGTTTAGAAAACCAAGATCAAAGATGTTGGTGCCCCAGATTACACAGCTAGTAAGTGGTGAGGACAGGATTGGAATCCAACACTGTCTATACTATGCCTTGACAGTGGTGTGACCTGGTGTAAGTCAAAGGCCTCCTATTTGGGAGGTGCCTCAGCTGCCTCTGGTGCCTCTTCTATAAAATGAAGGGCTGGACAGGTGCAGGGGACCTATACACCTGACACCCTTGCAGCTATTTTAAGCCCCACAAGAGCCCAAATGTGTGCTTTGGACCCACCTGTCTTGAATGCTTCACTCCCCACAACATCTAGTTTTGTAAGAAGAAATGCTGGGATCCTCACCACAGCCCTTCAGTATCTTTCTCTTCCACCCACAGCAAAAGCAGGATCCAGCCCAGGTCGGTTTGGCTCAATGGATAGAGCGTTGGCCTGTAGACTGAAGGGTCCCAGGTTCACATGCCTGGGTTTCGGGTTCCATCCCGGAGGCGGGTGTGCAGGAGGCAGACTATCGGTGATTCTCTCTCATCATTGATGTTTCTCTCTCTCTCTCTCCTCTCTTCCTCTCTGAAATTAATAAAGAAAATTTTTTTTAAAAAAAAAGCAGGATGGGGAGACAGATGCCCACAGGGACCTGGAGTGGTCGGTGGTGGAGAGTGAGATGTTCCGACGGTCCCGAGGCATGGGTAACAATGGTTATACTGGCTGAAAGGGACTTCAGATCCCTCTGAGGGCAGAATAGGAAAGAAGCTCAGCCAAGCCTGAACCTAGAAAAAATTATCTACAAGTGACACAAAAGTTTGTCTCATTCAACATGTAAAGAGCTTTCACAGACCAATATGAACTATCTCAACACCACAACTGAAAAAGTAAAAAATGATATAGTAGAAATGCCCAATATGTATTTGAAGAAAAAGCCCAATCTTGATAGCTAATCAAAGAAATGTAAATGAAAGCAATAAAAACTGTCTTAGCCCGGCCAGAGTGGTTTAGCGGTTGAGCGTCAACCTATCCCGGGTTGCGGGCTCTATCCCCAGTGTGGGGCATGCAGGAGGCACCTGATTGATGATTCTCTCTCATCACTGGTGTTTCTATCTCTTTCTCTCCCTTCCTCTCTGAAATAAAAACACATATGTGTTTTTAAAACACTGTCTTAAAGTATTCTTGGGGGAAAAATTCTAACTGGAATTAGATTAAGCTTCTAGATCTAACTTCTAGTTTAAAGACAATACAGGGTGAAAAGAACATTTAAATGACACCTGGGGTAAATCAACATGGGAAAGGTACTGGACAAACAACCCAGTTTCTTCAATGAATGAACTTTAAGAAAAAACAACAAGCCTAGACCGGTTTGGCTCAATGGATAGAGCGTCGGCTTGGGGACTGAAGGGACCCGGGTTTGATTCCAGTCGGGGGCATGTACCTTGGTTGCGGGCATATCCCCAGTGGGGGGTGTGCAAGAGGCAGCTGATCGATGACTCTCTCTCATCGATGTTTCTGGCTCTCTATCTCTCTCCCTTCCTCTCTGTACAAAATCAATAAAATATATTAAAACAAACAAACAAACAAAAAAAAAAACAGCAAATGAACAGAAGAGAACATACATATTTAAAGAAACTCATCAGACATCTCAACCAAAAGCAATGTATGCACCTTATTTGGACCAAACTAACCAAAGGAAAAAACATGACATCATCAGGGACATTTGAACCCTGATTGGGTATTGGATGATAGTAAGGAATTTTTGTCCATTTTTACGTTATGGTAATGGTATCATACTTATGTTTATTAAAAGGTTACTTATCTTTTAGAGATACATCAGGAAATTTTTAGAAATAAAAACAACCTGGCCAGTGTGGCTCAGTGGTTGAGTTTGGATCAATGAACCAGGAGGTCACAGTAGGATTCCCTGTCAGGGCACATGCCTGGATGCGGGCTGGGGGGCATGCAGGAGGCAGCCAATCAATGATGCTCATTATTGATGTTTCTGTCTCCCTCCCCCTTCCTCTGTGAAATCAATAAAAATATATTTTAAAAAAATTAAAAACAATATATCTATACGATGTCTAAAATTTTCTTCAAAATAATTTGAGGGAGGAGAGAAAGGATGGGGCTAATAGATGAAGCAAGGCTGGCCATGAGTTGATACTTGTTGAAGCTGGGTACTAGATACATGGGGTTAATTATACGATTCCGTTTCACAGGTGGACCTCAATTTATTTCGCTTAGAAGATATTGCGTTTTTTGCAGATTGAAGGCAAGAGCCCCCACCAGCAAAAAGATTATGACTCCCTGACAGCTTGGATAATGGTTAGCGCTTTCTTAACAATAAAATATTTTTAAATTATTGGGGTTTTAGATATAATGCTATTGCACACTTAATAGACTAAGACATAGTATAAACATACTTTTTAATTATGTTGGGAAACCAAAAAAAAAAAAAAAAAATTATGTGACTCACTCTTTTGCAATAGTCACTGCATTATGGTGGTCTGGAACCGAGCCCACAAATTTTTTGAGGTATGCCTTTATATCCAACGATTCCATAATTAAAAGTTAAGAAAAACAATGGTACATTGTCCGAAGTTTGAAAGGTTATACACAAAAATGTGTGAACTCAGTGTGAGATCGCTTTTAATGCATTTGTACTTTCCTCCTTTCTATTTTTAAATTTTAATATTTTTATTTTATTTTATTCTTTTCCATTACTACCCCTTTTCTTACTTAATCTGTAGCAATGAGCATGCATAACCAGGAAGAAAATAATGTCTTTAGAATGGCTTTAAGTTAAATGGTCTATACCAGTTGTGGCTAAGGGGCCACAGAATGTCAGCCATCGGTGGGCAGGTGGCCAGCCTCTCCCTGTGGGGACACAGACCCTGCCTTGCCTCCTCAGCTCCAGGAGACAATAAGTAAAATTTATATTATTTATTGGGGGAGAAGGACTGTGCTGAGCCACTCTTACACGGCCTTCCTAACAGGTGAGGACACTGAGGCTCAGAGGGAGCAGTGGGGCTGCTGGGGGGATGGGAGAAGGAGCCAATGTGCTGACACTTCCTCTCTCCTCCAATCCCTGCAGACCACTCTGTGGGGTGAGTACTTTCCTCCCCAATAGCCTCAGAGAGGTAGAATGACTCACCCAGGGCCACTCAGCCAGGGCTGCCCCAGATCAGGACCAGCTGATTCTTTCCCTGGCGCTCTCCCCCACAGCTGCTGTGCCCCGAGGGGGACTGGGGTTGGGGCCTTCCATCCTGGCGCAGGGCACTTGGTCTGGGGGACTCAACACCCACGGACTCCAGGCTGATCGGGGAGCAGCGTGGCCTGGGGCAGGAGGCCGGGTGCTTCGTGAAGGCTCTGTCTTGGCACTTTGTGAGATCTGAGCCTTCCCCTCCCCTGGCCAACTGGGATGGGCACCAGCTGCCCTGTCTGAGGCCTTCTCGGGACGTCGGGAAACGGGAATGTGGCTTGTAAACCGTAACATACTGTACAAGAGGCAGAGCGTCTGTGTCCAAAAATAAATGCACTTGCAGACACCTGCCCTGAGCCTCACCTGGGAGGGCAGAGGGGACAGCGCAAGACAAAGCACCCAGCCCGCAGAGCACCCTCCCCCAGGCTCTCTGGGATCCCTCCTGCAGCCTGGAGACTGGCTGCTCACCCAGCGACCAGCCCCCTCAGGCCACCGGATAGGTGAAGCAGGGGCCTTGCTCCGGGGACGCCTGCCCCACCCTGACCGGCTGTCATGGGTGTGGAAGCTGGGTTTCCAAGGCCCAGGGAGCCAGGCCCCAGCCTCTGCTGACCCTGGGGTTGGGGGTGAGGGTAGGGGTGAGGGTGGGAGGTAAGAGCAGGTGAGGGGGTTGCCCCACCTGCAGACTGGCCTCCCACCCTGTGCTCCCTGTGACCTCCCCTCTCTCCTTCAGACCTGGGGTTTCCCCACATTCTCTCTTCCTTTTGGTCTGGAATCTTTCTCTTTTTCTCTAGATTCTCCCCCACCCACTTCTCTTGCCATGTCAGATCCTCTGTTTCTTTCCCTCTTCTTCCATTTGCCTCTCAAACTCATTTCTAGCCCATGGTTCACACCTACCCGTTATCTCCAAAGTCTCTGTCTCTGTCCCCACCTTTCTCTCTGTTCTTCACCCCCGCCCTCTCTCTCCCCGTCTGCCTTTATTTCTCTGCCCTTTCTCCCTCTCTCCGTTTTCTCTCTCCATCTCCCTCTTTCTCCATCTCTCTCTTTCTCCATCTGGCTGTTTCCTTGTCCCTCCCTCCTCCATCTCCCGCGCCCGGCGCGTCTCTCCGGCCCCCGCCCGTCGGGGCCCCACTCACCGTCGGCGCCCGCGGCGCGGAGCAGGGCGAGCGCGGCCAGAGCGCACAGCAGGGGCCGCATGGTGCCGGCTGCCCGCGCCTCCCCGGGAGGATCGCCGCCGCCTCCCCGGGATCTCGCCGGGAGGAAATGCGCGCGGCCCCGGCCAAGATTCCTGGGCGGCTCCGGGCTTTCTGGCTCCAGCGAACCCGCCCCCTCCAGAGGCCCCTCCGCGCCCGCGGGCCGCCGGAGCCCAGAGACCCCGAGGGCGGAGGGCGGGCGCGCCAGCCTGGGCGCCTGCCCGGCGAGGGGCTGCCCTGGAGTCCCCACTCCCGGGGGATAGGGTCGGGGGAAGTGGGTTGGGGTGGACGGGGAGAGGGGGGGGGGCGCAGAGGGGAGGGAGAATGGCGAGGGGGTGAGGGTGCAGGCTCGGCATTCGCTATGAGCCCGTTATACAGCCTGGCCGGCCAAGGAAGCTGAGAGCAGGGCCTTCATCCCCGTGTCACCCAGAGCCCTGGCCCAGGATCTGCACGCCACGTGGGAACTTCTCTCTGTCCCCCACGAACCAGTCATTGCATGGGACAGGGTCTGGCCCTGAGAAGTGCGCCTGCCTTCTACAGAAAAGTGCTGTTCTGCTAACGGAGTCATAGTGATGTTAGAAGATAATTAAAAACAAAACAAAACAAAAAAACCCCTAAAATCATGAGAGGTGAAAACAAGCATGTGCTGAAGATTTTATTTAAGTCACGAATGAGGGAATCAGTAAGGGGTGACAACAAGCCAAAGGACAGACACAGATCTGGAATATGGATATGAATGTGCAAATAAAGAAAACTGGCTTCTTCTTCCATGCCCTGGGGGAGAATTAACTGAGCCCATAACAGGACTAGTTTACAAACATCTGGACAAGCATTGTTTTGCATTCCTATCGATGACGTACAGACTTGTTAAACAGCTTAAAGGAATGGAAGCCCGGAGCCCTCATAGAATCAGAATCGGTCCAGCGCTGTGTTTGAACTCCGATTCTGAGGGAGGTAGACTTGGATGAAAGACTTCTCATTCACGTATGTCTGCCCTCCAGGAGTTAACGGCCTAGGAACCACCATAATATTTTTTTTAAAATATATTTTATTGATTCCATACAGAAAGGAAGGGAGGGAGATAGTTAGAAACATAGATGAGAGAGAGTCATCGATCAGCTGCCTCTTGCACACTCCCCACTGGGGATATGCCCGCAACCAAGGTACATGCCCTTGACCGGAATCGAACTCAGGACCTTTCAGTCCCCAAGCCAACGCTCTATCCACTGAGCCAAACCGGTTTCAGCGGAACCACCATAATATTAAACAATAGCTGAGCATTGATCAACTAACTTCTCCATATACCCTTCCTCTGCTCTTCACTGCAACCCCATCATTACGTCCATTCTTCAAACCGAGAAACTGAGACCCAGAAATGTTAAGAACTTTGAGGACAGCCACCCAGCTGGAATCTCTTTGCCAACAGTCGCTGGGATGGTACCTCCTTGCAGACAGCCCGGCTGGGTTCGGGGTTTGAATCCAGTCCTGCTGTCTCTGCAGGCTAGTCCTTAGACCAGCGATTTTCAACCTTTTCACCTCATGGCACACGTAAACTAATCACTAAAATTCTGTGGCACATCAAAAATTACACTTTTTTTTTTTTTGCCGATCTGATGATAAATAAATACAGATATAAAATAAAAATAAATTAGGCATAATTTTGATTCATTCATGTGGGATGGCTATTGTGTTGGCTGTTGCCATTTTTATTATTTGACAGTCTAAAGGAAAAGAGGTCAGTGCCCCTGTCTAAATAGTCAGATAGTGCATGTTTTAAGACGTGGCATGCCAGTGTGTCATGGCACACGGGTTGACAATCACTGCCTTAGATAATAATACTCACAGCATTCCTGAGAACCAAGTTGTCTTTCTTCATGTAAGTACGCCCAGAGCAAGAGCTGGGTGGCTTTTTCAGTGAACTTCCAATCCACCTTCCTCCAGTTTAGAACACAATAGTCAAAGCCTCATTCATGGGATTCACACCCCCAACAAGTGCAAAACAACCCAAGTTTTAGTGAAAACAAAAACCAAAGCTGCAGCAGCCCTGATTTCTGCGCTGCAGAGCCTGGAGCATGGAGCCGGATGTCAGTGGAGCGCCTTCATCACCAAGCCCAGGAGAAGGTATCTGTCCAGCCAGGGCTCCCTCAGGGTTAACGGGAGTCCTTGCAGACAAGGCTGGTCTCTGTCTTCTCATTTCCAATCCCGGTCTTGTAGTTCTCCAGTTCAATTACCACACTATCCAGCAGTCCTCACTGCTCACTTCCTCCACCCAGATAATAGCCTTAGGCACAGAAATTCCAGTTCGGAAGCAGCAGATCTTGGACAGAGATGTGGATCTAGTGTTTAAGATGCTCTCCTGGGGATTAGAATGCCCTGATCAGCTGCTCAGAAGGGGTTTCTTTCAAGAATGTCTCACACTCCTTAGTAGGACATTCCTGGGTAGGTTAGTCAGGTGAGACATTGTCCAAAGAACAGCCCAGAATTAGTGGGCTACCTACCTAATATTTGAATTTGCAACGAAACTGAGACACATGCAATACTTTCTTGTGGTGAGTCACAGGGTAGGACAGCAGGCGGAGGAGGATGTGAGACTCCTCCCTGGCACTAACGCCCCTACACAGCGATTCTAGTCCATCCCCTGGGCGTGGCACACTCTTCCGTTCCTGGCGTGTGCACTCCCTATCCACCTAATGTATATTCAGATACACACAAGCATGTACCTAGGACTGAAAAATAGGCATTTTTGGAACTTGCTTTCACATTTATGTTTATCTCACTCATAGCATCAAATCTTGAAGATCATCCTATGTCAGTACACATAAATCCACTTCATTCCTTTGAAGACTTGCAAAATATATCATGAATGGATGCACCATTATTTGCCCAGACAATCCCTACAATCCTCTACTGGTGGACAGGTAGTTTGTTTCTTGCCCCCCTTCCCCTCTCCCCCCCTCCCCGCCCCCGTGCTTCAGGGAACATACTTTTGTATTTATTTTTATGTACATGTCTCATACTCATGTATTTCTAAAAGGCTAGATTCCTGGGAGAGGAATCACTGAGTCAGAAGGCCTTTTATATTTTGCCGGATATGCCAAACTTTCTCACTAAGCCCATTGCAAGGGACTGTGGCACTGAGAGCTACTCTCAGGGTCCCCAATTAATCTCGCTCTGTGTTGAAGTTGTGCTGCAGGGGGCGCTATTTACATAAAAGAATTCTGTAGTGGAGAGACCTGAAGTTGTAGGTCGAGTAGCCTTGTACATTCTCCAACACTGGATAGATAGCTTTTGAAATATAGGCAGTTTGATTATGAAAAACGTTACCTTGTTGTTTTTATTTATATGCTATTTATCATGAGTGAAGTTGAGCTTTATTTGCCAATTCAAATACTCCCCCCCCTTTCTTTTTACATATTCTGAGTATTAATTCAATGTCTGATGTGTGTGTTGACAATGTTTTTTCCATCCTACCAATCTCTTTAACTTTCTTTGTTGGGTCTTTCATAATACAGAATATTTAAATATGTAGGTATTCATATCTCTATTTTCTTTTACGGTTTCTAAGTTTTACAACTTGTATATGATTCTTCATACCAAGACTATAAAATTTTTTCAATATTTTTTTCAAATAGTTTAAAAGGTGGTGTGTGTGTGTTTAAAGGCATAATCTCAAATCCATTTAGAATTTGCATTGGTTGTGAGGAAAGATTAAAACTTAATTTTTTTCCTGAATGGACATTTAAAATCCTAATGCTCTTTATTGCATAGGCCATCCTTTAGCCCCTAATTTGAACATAAAATAAATTGTTGGTTAGCTGTTCATTCCTAAATGGAGTTCTCTAGCCATCATGTCTATCATGAGGTCAAGGAAGCTAAAATAAAAGCTTATCATTTTAATAACTACTGAAACTATTATTTGATGAAATTAAACAGCCACCCCAGACTTAAAAACAACAACAAACTCTAAGAGGCAAGAAAAAAGGAAATAAAGAGGGCATTTCCTGAACAAGGGAACTATTTTATCTTAAACAAATAGTTCACATGTGCATGCAAGGAGGACGGAGAGAAGGCACTTTTATTAAGCCAGGCACGAGGTAAAAATGCCATCATCACCACCATTAGTTATTCATGGTCTGATCAATGAAGCACAAATTAAAAGAAGAGCAATTCCAAAGGAGACAAAACATTGGTAATAGTGGGAGATTCTGTTGATTTTTAGAAAATTCAGTAGAACTAAAAGAACTGAGATAAGTGCTTGGAAGTCATTTATTTCCTCACAGCAACAGAAACCAGCCTGACCCCATGAAGGAACTCTTCTGGGCAAGATGACAGGAAGGACTCAGTTTACTGATGTCCTCCTTCCAACATTCTCTAGAAATGACCAATGGAAATTGACACCAGTGCCAGGAACTTGGGAAATATGCCACCCATATGCCAGTTCTGAAAGCAAGTTGATGGCCAGCTGGGATTAATGGCAATAAGTACCATTCGTCTGTTATTTGCTAAACTTCTTTGAACCTGGTATTGTGCTAAGGCTGTAATCATGTAATCCTTGCACCGTTAGATCTATAAGAAAGGTATCCTTATCTCCATTTTTCAAATATGATATATTTGATGAAGGTCAGAGAGTGGCAGATCCAAGAATGGAAGCGGGTAGATCAGATTCTAAAACCCATGCTCTTAAGCATTATCAGGCATGCTCACTCTCGGGTCCTAGGGGAGTAGCCAGGTAGTAAGGAGAAGAGGGCAAATGGGGCATTTGTGGGCTCAGAGTAGCAAGTTCTTAGCACTTAGGGAGAGCCCACCCACAGCCTCCTTCATAAATGAAGTGCTGTAGGCTCCTGCCACCCTGGCAGGCAGCAGCAGGGTCCAGAGTGAGCACTGTGTGAGGTCGGAGAAGTTGGGAGGTGCCCATGTAGAAATGTGAGGGTGGTTTCCCAGGGCACCTATGCCTCCAAGGCAATGGCACAGGATGCCCACGGGCCTCCCAGCCTGGCAGTGCTG